TTTTCTGCATACAGGGGGAGATTAAAAAAAGCAAAGGAGAGGGGGAAAATGAGGCAGGAACGACATAGAAGAGAAGGAAAAGGAAGGGAAAGATCTCTCTTCCCACGTTAGGATGGAGGCTGAAGGATGGTGGCTTGGAGCCCCACTCCAAACTGGCAGAAGGCAAAAATTGGATGTGGCCTGAAAGAGAAAGCCCTGAAGCCCAGGACTGAACTGGAGCCAGTGTGTTTCTGACAGCATTTTGATGTGTGAATGTTTCTGTTGATTCCAAATCCAGATAGGATGAAGTGGCTAGAGGTTGGTTATGAAGGAAAGTAATTTTATTTTCCTGCAAGTTAGACAGTATGGGAGGGGTAAAAAACCCTTATTTTAGGAAAAAAAATTATGAAATTTTGCTTAGAAAAGAAATTTTTATTCACCCCAAAATATTTTAAACTGGCATTTTGCTTCATTTTGTTTCCTTGGTAATGTCAGAATCACTACATGAATTTCCAAATATATCCCATTCCATCCAAGTGGTATTTTAATAATTTTAATACAGAAAACTGTTCAGGTATAATTTTTCCAAACCATTCTAGTTGTAGTTTGTCTCCAGGTTAGAGGGCTGTTTTAGCAGAAGCTTCTCAGGTGCCAAGAACAGCGGGATCCCTGGTCTTTGAGCAGAAACGCTTCTCTTGTTTTGGCTAGACAAAGCAAGAGATCGGGAAGAAAATGCAACTTCCCCCCAGATTCATAACTTTTCCTTCTTTTTGGTTTGAAAATACATCTTTGACTCCCACAGCATATGTTCTTGCATGTGTTTCTTGGCACTCCTGAAGGGCAGATTTATTTCTTACATGCTTGCTGCCTTAATTTTACTGGGGAATGAATTTTTTGTCCTGGATATGTTGTGCAGAATTCCTGTGACAGCCATAAATTTTCTTTAATATCTTTGTATACGTATAGCTTCTGTATTAATACCAAGTTTGCTACCTGCCCACCAGCAAAACCATATGCTAGCATCAAATGTTAATTGGCTATCAGTTGGGTATTTAGTCCTACTCATCTGCTAAATGGATAGTACGAGAAACTTACACCAAAGTTAATGGAACATACTCCCTAGTCCTGTTAAACTGCTTGTCTGCCATAGATTTGTTCCATTAGAATCACAACACGAAATGAGTTTTTAATTTCTTTCAGCATTGCAGGCTCTTTAAAATTCTTGTTTGTTTTCCAGTGTAGACTTAAGAGAGACCTGGAATCACGCGGGATGGAGGGGCTCTGGAGGCCCCGAGTCCGGCCTCCCACTCCGAGCAGGCTGAGGTTTTAGTATCTCCAAATAAATAGTAATATTATTTGGATGGCACATGAAAATGTTGAATGCTCTGTGAGTGGCTGCTGTTTATGGCACTGTGATCTTTAAGAAGATACAGCAGACTCTCTGCTTCACATATTTTCCAATAGAAGAAAACAATTTGTTTGGGGATGTTTTGATCCACTGTTTTCCACTGACAGAAAGATGTCTTTAGCAGACATAGCTGGGAACAGTAAATAGAATAATGACCACTGAAACCCATTTTAGTATCTCCAAAAGTGGAGATTTCACAGCTCCTGTGGGTACCTGTTCCACTTTTTGACCATCCTTATGGTAAAACTCCTCCCTTACATCATGTTCACACTTGTGTCTGTTGCCCCTTGTATCTGGATGTGCCTCTGAGAGGAACCTAGCCCTGCCTTGCCCTTACCCTGAGATCAGGGGGGTCTCCCCTGCGCCGTCTCCAGGCTGAACAGGCTCCGGTCTCAGCCTGTCCCCCTCTGCCACGTTCCCCAGCCATCTTGGCAGCCCTGTGCTGGGCTTGCTTCGGTTTGTCAGGAGTTTCTCTTTCACTGAGGAACCCAGAGCTGGACGCCACGCTCCAGACATGGATAGGGGAGGATTGCTTTGTTCAGCTGATTTCAGTGTTACTAATACAGGCCAGGGTGCAGCTTAGCAAATGAAAATGTTAGCCAGTGCCTTTACTAAGTCTCGTTTTCACGGAGTTTGTAAATGGAAGACAAAAGGAACCCCCTGCACCGGATACGTTGTAGCTGCTGCTGTCTTTGGTAGGAATCCTTCTTAGCAGAATGCTGTTGTTAGAAGCTGTGAAAACCTGCAGGAGTGGGAATCCAGCGTTCGCAGCTCCGCTTGGCTAACGAGGGACAGGGAATACCCCGGTGACTTTTCTGCCCGGCTTGTCATCAGCACCCACTAGCAGGTGTGGCAGTAAACTGGTCAGCCTGGAAGGGTTTGAGTTATCTCTGATGGAGAGCTGGTGGCACACAAAATAGTAGGTGGAAGAGTGGTGGTTGTAAAGCTATGGGCACATGTAGAAACAGCTCTAGAACTGCTGTTGGGCTCTGTGGCCTTGGGGAGGGCTTGGCCCTAGGCAAGGACTGAGCCAAGGCTACAGATTGTGCTGAGGGGTGAAAGACCATGTATTGGTGTTGGAAGAACATGAGGGGATAAGAAGCTATAAAAAAGGAAGAGTAAGAAGTTGTAGGTCAGAAGTAGGAAAAGTGTTTCCACTTCCAGGTAGTTTTCAGGTCAGTTCTGATCAGGCACTGCACATGTCTGGGGGCTCCTCATGCTCTGAATGGCAGCTGAAACGTTGGGCGTTTCTCGGGGTTGTGCCGACACCCCCTGACAGCGGCCTTGCTGCAGTGAGGTGCTGGTGGTCGCTCTGCGGTCGGCCTGGCAGGACGGGGCTCCGGTGCGGAGGTGTTTTCCCTTCCGCAACGAGGGCGGGCGGCAGGCAGGGCTGTGCTCTGGTGCCTGAGCTCTGACCTGCAGCCACGCCGCTGGGGACCCTCTGGGGGGCTCCTGCCGGCCGTGCCCGGGCCACAGCAGCTGTCAAGGATTTGTACTAGGGGTGACTTTGCCTTCGAGAGCACTTGCTCTAAAAAGTGAAGCATGTCCTGAAGTCTTCCAAGGAACAAAGTTTAAACAAAATATCTGCAAACAGCAAAAAAATGCCCATTAGGCAAAAAAATTAAGATTTAACGGGTAAAGGGGGCTTGAGGAGACAAAGAGAGGGAAATAGGTTTAGCGAGTTGCTGCCTGGTATGGAATGAAAGAAAAAAACTTGAGCTGCAAACTCATCAAAAACACAGTTGTTAATTGAAAAGCTGACAGACCTGTAACTACAGCAGCGCTTCTGGCCGCCACTATAATAAATGTAACTGTACATTTAGAGTAATTTGCTAATTTGCCTAAGTAACACCCACAGACAGCAACATGACATAAATACATTAGTGGAAGCAACAACTATAACCAGCTCGCACAGGTTCTTGGCTGCTAGATGGATGGATCAGATGAGCTGGAAAAGATTTACAAAACAGAATACAAATGGAATTGTTAACAGTATTGCAGTGTACAGGATTTCTTTATTTTCCCGTTCCCCAAGAATGCTCTAGGGCCCACAGATGCCCATCCGTACATACTGTAGCACGTAAGGGACATTTTTATCTGTGTGTGTATGTGTGCACACACAGAGAACACTTGGGGAGAGTGAGTACACATCTGCAAAAGGCGAAGCATTTCTGAAGCAAAGATGACAAAATTTACATCTCCAGTAGTCTTTCAGGTCAGTAACTGAATCTCCAGCATTCAGTGTGTCATTATAAATACCCTAGGAGAGTTCCTGTTAATATTCTATTCATACGTATTGGGTCCACAGCACAGACTGGAACCTCCACAATCATACAGATGTTACAAGTGTCCAAAACTTCAGTTACCCGGATCTTTTCATTTGGCAAATAATGAGCTCAGCCCTGTGGCATCTCCTCTGGGCTAGCCCTGTTCTCTCTCTTCTGTTTCTGTCACCCTGAATCAAGCTGTTGCATTTTATTCTTAAGTCCTACTCATGCCAACTTTTGCCACTTCTTACGGACCGGTGTTCTACATTCCCTAAAGATCCTTCCTCTAGGTTAGTCTTGGGGTCATCACTAAAGGTTCTTACGTTATCAACAATACATCTTTAAAATAAAAAGTGTCAAGACTGCTGCCAATGCAAGGTGGGTCTCATTTTCAGCAAAATATTTTTCTGCTCCCCATTTCCTGTTTTGTCTTCATCCTGATGCAAATTAATAATGCAGAAGCAAAGCCAATGAATGCAGCTTTACAGTTTCTGTCTTTGTTTCCTCTCGGGTGTACTTAGAAGGTTTCTGTTGAGCTTTTTGAGAGAGATGGTGCTCGCTAGCAAGGGCAGAATCCAGTTGGTAACCAAACATGGAGTCAGGTGGAAAGTTGCTGCCGCGGTGCTGCTCTCAGGAGGAACCCACGTGTGTGGGCACATACGTTCTTGCCTTCAGCAGGAGGTTGTAAGGTTTTTCACTAAATACGGGTTGTAAAATATTCTTGAACATGAGTCACTTTAAATTATAGTCCATGGATCTGAGGAAGTCACTGAGCAAATGGAGCAGGAAAAAACACGGGATGGAGGCAAACTGCGAGACTTTTCTGTGGGATGTGGAGTTTTGACAGCTAAACCCAGTCCCTGTCTTGCTTGAAGGCTTGATTGTAATGTCAGGGCAAAGCGGGCAGCAGAGCCCTCTGGCTGACCCAAGATCGAGTCTGTGAGGGCTCCTCAGCCCAAGCTGCTAGAGAGCCCAGCTCTGGAGAAGAGAGCCGACGCGAGTTCATGGGCGTCGCAGCCGAGCTGCTTTGAACCCTCATTCCTGTCCGAGGGCTACCAGCAGTCACAGTAAGTGATACTTGCAGCACAAATGGCAGTTAACTACAAGTAAAGAGCAGAGCAGAAGTCTGCAGACTGGTTTTTAAGGTTGATGAGTTGAAAGTAGTTTCAACACATTAATGCTGAGCGTGCCCTGAAAACGACAGTGATGTTGTTCACCTGGAATCACCTGATGGTTTCACACATGTGAGCATATTATAGGAACTGATAATAGTTTGTGAGTTTGTCTGTTTTCTTTTATCAGATTTTCCATAAAACAAGTAATTTGTTTGTTTTTCACTGTTTTAGGTAGCCTGCCCTATGAATACAAGATTGTGATAGCAGGAAATCATGAATTGACCTTTGACCAGGAATTCATGGCTGACTTAATCAAGCAGGACTTTTACTATTTCCCCTCTGTTTCTAAGCTGAAGCCAGAGAGCTATGAAAATGTACAGTCTCTTCTAACAAACTGCATCTATCTTCAAGACTCTGAAGTGACGGTGAGGGGATTCAGAATATATGGCTCCCCTTGGTAAGCAGGTTTTTAAGCATACATAAAAAAATACTGTTGATTGCTATCACATCAGCCATTTCATATGCATCAGCTGTATTTGGATTGCTGTGCTAGGAAGAAAAGTAATACTCAGTATGGTAAAGTTTTTATATTTTCTTGTGAATCATGCCTGTGACAAAATAATGTACTTGTACTATGGGTATTGTTCACCAGGTAATGGTGGGAAACAGGTAGTGTGCTTTTTAAACTCTCAGCCAGGAGCAGTGCTCTAACACAGCCCATGCTTGTGTCGTAAAAAAAAAGCCCAGCCTTTTGTGTCATAAAAGATGTTTTCTGTACTTAGTGAGTTTATATGATTACAGGTTAATTTTATTGCAAGGGTACGTTCTTCTGACAATCTCTGTCCTACAGATGATGTTTGGGGTTGATTAGTGCATACAGGAGTCGCTTAGCTCAGCAAGCTGCTTTTGGTATTTGTTTGGGGGTTTTTTAAATATCTCACAGAATCTTACTGCCTTTTATACAGTAATAGCTTTCCTCAAGGTACATTTGAGCTTCTAAACTGAAGTCGGCAAATCAGTGGCGACTTACTATTTGATGGGTTTTGCTCTACTGCACGGAGTGAACACTGAGAAGTCCCTGACAGTCTTGGAGACAGAGGGGCTTTGGGTTCCTGACCTCCGCCTTGGACCTCGTATGTGCTGCTTCTCTGCCTCTTACTTCTGTTACATTACTGCCGTGTTATTTCTGCTAACGGGACTGTGAACTGGGCCTTTTCTGAGCATTCGGTATACATTTAAAATAAGTAAAAATATTTTTTTTAAAGGCAGGTTTTTCAGGGAATCTGTTATTCTTCCTTTTAAAATCACATCAGGCTGGAATGTAGCAAACAAGTTGTCAAACCTGATGCATATACCCCAATGTGAATTTTCAGTGTGAATAAACTGTGAAATCTCTTGGATTTTTTTTTTAATGAAAATTGGCATTTTCCCATTTGGTTACTTGAGATGGGTGTTAATTTTCTCTGAGCTTATTATTCTACATTTGTCTACATTAAATCGCTTCCCTCTTAAATGCACCCTTCTCTCTCTCTCTCTTAGATCTCCAGATCTTTCTGGGTTTTTTTTCAACCTACCCACCTGCTGTGTTGTAGTTCATCTTCCTCTTGTGTCTACTTTGTATTCAATCAATGTACAATTTACTTTATTTTCCAAATTATTAGGGAAGATATTAGATGGTATCAGTCCCAATATTAACTTATGAGAAATGCCACTTGGCATCTCTTCCCATTTTGATGTTCAACTGTAAATACTGTAATTATGCTCTGTTTACAATATGTCTGGCAACTTCATATCTTCATTGCAGTATTCGTAACCAGGCACCATATTTCCAGTGTCAGTAATAATTTTCCAGGCAGTAAAGTTCCAAGAGTCTCATTAAAGTCTAGATAAATTAAATTAAAGCAAAACACTATCTATAAAGTAGCACAAAGTGGAGGCTAAAGGAAACCATTTGAACTTTCTGTGTATGATTAGATCTGTAAAAATCTGTTGAGAAAACTTTTGTCCACCCACTAACCCATAAATAATGTTTCTGTAAAATCAGATCTGCTGCATTCCCTTTGTGCGCTAATCCTGTCATTTTGCACAAGTTGTCTAAGCTCTCTGGCATGACCCATTCTGCATGAGAAAAGATTGCTTTCCATCTTCTCTGCATCTCCAGGTTATATCTCAACTTCCACACTGCATGTTTCACAGTGTTGCTAACTCATCTCCCACCCCCTTATGGTCCAGGAAGATGAGTGTTGCAAGGTCCTTCGAAGATCTTTGCTTACTCCATATGGGAGAGAGTCTTGATGAAAGTCTTCCAGCCAAACTGGGTTTTTGCTTGTCATTATGCAACGCTGAATAAAGTTTCCATGCTGATGGGTGTCATGTCCAGTGGAAACAGCAACACCGACAATAATAGCAGGAATAAGTTGCTCTTCATTAGTCTATCAGAACAGCAGATGCAGAAGTAACAAAGTCGCATCAGCCAGCCCACCAGTCAGAAAACTTAGAAGGAGAAGCAGCTATTTTGTGTGGGTTAAACTAGCTGCCTGCTAGATTGAAGGCTGTAGTACAAGTCTGTGCCTACTGATCACTACTGTTCTTTAGCATTTCTTTTTGTTTCTGTACTTCATTCACCCTGAAAGGAGAGGTTTGTCATAGCCTCTCTGGGAAGTCAATCTGTTTCTTTCTACATCATAGTAATGTAATCTCTAAAAAACTACAGAATTTTGGAGAACTTTCCATGGTGAATCTTTTTTTCCCCTTGCATCATGAAGCCGGTCCTTCAGAAAATGCTTATGAGCCTAATCAAGACTTCCGAATGCAGAGTTGACTTCAAGATCTCAGAACTCAGTAAGAAAGCTGAATTTCATGCAGTTGCTTGTTCAGTATCCTAAAATAATTTTCCTTTCCAGCCTTGAAAATATGCATCTAGCTTTTTGAATGGGTTTGTTCAATCGGGGAACTCTCAATTAGTTTGTTTGTTGTCCGTACATGACTCTGTCTGAGGAGGAGGTGAGCTATGTAGAAATGGTAGACCGGGGCCCCAGATCCTGCCCTTCCATTTCTGGGTACAGCCCTGACCTCCTCTCTGTCTTCCCCTGTGTAAAAACAAGTGCAAGCTGGAGACAGCCCTCCTTTATAAAAGAGGCTAGTCACTAGCTGCAGAGCACTTCGAGAACGCTGGAGTAAGGTCTGCGCGGCCGGCCCGCGTTAGCGCCGTGCGTTACCTGGGGCAGTCTGCGGGTTTGTGTCCGACTGTAGGCGATTAGACTGTACTTCTGCTTAGGGGGTTCGAGTTGCAGGGCAAACCATGACAGCTTGATGGGTTTGCGTAACGCCCCAGTCTCTGAGGCCTTTTAAATACGAACCATTTGTGTGTGGTTGAACACTTTCAACAGCACTGGGGGATTTTGACCTCTGTTATTATCTAAAACTCAGTGGCTATTTTTAATTGCATAGAAGAAATGGGGCACTGTTTTGTCTCAGAACCCTTAACTCTCCTGGGCTCCAAGGGCAAGATTTCAAGTGCCAGATTGAGCCTCTACTCACCAACGAAAATTTAACTGCCATAAGTGTTAATTAGGCTGGTATCATCATCCAGCAGGGAGCAGCCATTTTGGGTGCTATTTGGGCAACACCAGTATCTTGGACTGTGGATTATCAGTACAGGTGATGGGGGAGAGGAGTATGAGAACATTAGATGCTTCACAAGAAACTTGGGAATACAAAGATGTGAAATGTGTCCAGAGCAATCTGGAATTTTAAGGGTGGGCATGTGTGGCCTGGGGGGCTGGTGCTCTTGGCAGGGCAGTGCAGAGCTGCCTGCCAGCCCTGGGGCAGCAGGGCACCGTAAGAATGCAACCTGCTTCCAACTGGGAGCCACTGGGGGGTTTTCCCATTTAAGCCTGGACACCTTTTTTTTTTTTTTTTTTTTTTTTTTTTTTTTTTTTTCCCCCATCTCACCAAAACCCAGAACACAACCAGAACATACTCACAGAGCCGCAAGCAGTCTTTCTGGTTGGGAGGTACCCTAATTTATTCTGGACTGCTGGGGGAAAAGTCAAAGTGGCAGAGAGAATAACCCAAATAATTCTAAGTAACACATCAAGCAGGAACACTAGAGGGGTGGCAGAGAGTCCATCCTTAGGGTTCCCAAGACAGTCGTGGCTGGCCAGGCCTAGTGGTGGTGAGCAGGAGTGGGAGGTTGGACTAAAGGTCTCCAAAGGTCCGTTGCAGACACCTGGGGTGAGCAGGGACCAACGAGGTCCTTAGGACAGGGAGCTTTGCTCTCCATAGCAGACTCTCGACAAGCAGTAGATGGTCCCGGCAGGGGGTTTGGGGGTCAGGAGGCCAACAGTGGAAATCTGGATTTGGGTCTGAAGGAGGAGGTCTTTTCTGTGTCACCAGGCTGGGTATTATCTCTGTGACAATGTCATTCTTGGAACCATTTTAATAAATAATTAGTGTTTCAGTTTTTTCAGTCAATATAGATTTTCAGCCTTCTATTACAATTAATTGCCCCCACAATGTGTTATTATTTTGCAGGTAAGAGTTTCAGCGCTAGCTACAGCTGGAATGAAGATAGGCTATACAATCCACTTGTGCCTCTGCACTCCTAAAGATTTTAACTGCACAATTACGCGCTGCGTTCGCACAAAAAACATTCAGTGTGCAAGATGTGCTGTGCCTGCCGAATGAGTCAGCTATGTAGTATTCCTTTTATAGTCATTATTCAGAATTGCCATGTAGAAATAAATGCCTAAAAGGTGCACGTACGCTCTTGTGTCACCGTGAGAACTCTTCTCTGAGGTTCGTACTTGCACGTGTGGTCCTGAGTGTTGCTGCCCCTGCCTCTCTGCTGCACAAGGTTTCCATGACGGACTCTGCCCTACGACTGGTGTTTTTCTGCTGAGTTTTTTGCAGCTCAGTGTGTAACTCACTCGTCTCTCTGTTCTCCTGTTGCATGCAATAAATAATGGCAAGACCTGAAGACTAATGAGTTGACTCCTGATCAATAATCAGAAGCTGTTTGTCTGGCAAAGGTTATACCGGTTGTTCCCCTCATGTCTTAACGTGGCACCACCAGATTTACAGGAGAGAGGTGCATCTGCAGAAGAACAGGTGGTCTGGGTGTATGCTCTGATCTTGGGCAGAATGGCAGGAACTCCATGGCTTTTTCTGTTAAAAGGTGGATTATTGTGCATTAAGGACAGGGTAAGAGTACACATTTTACTTGACACGCAAACGGGAGAAGGAAAACGTCTTCTTCCTAGCCACTGAATTTCATAATGCCACTGTACACAACTGCAGGAGAAACTTTGGTCCTCCCGCTTTCAAACAGGCATACGAGGTGGCAGGAGAGCATTTCATCTCAGTCAGTGCTTTTTTCATTTTCCACCGTGTGGGAAGGGAAGGGACAATCAAAGCCTTCTTGCCAAACATGTGACAATTTCATTATTCTAAATG